TATTGGTCTATCATCACCATAAATTTTATAATATTAAAAAATATTTTTATAAACTATATAATGTATTTAAAATTACTTTTGGAATTTACCACTTAACCGTTATTTTTTCCTATAAAAAAGAAAAAGAAAAATATAGAAGAAAATAACATAGAGAAGAGAGAGGCCGGTGCTAGATTTGAGCAAGTAAAGAAACTCCTTTGCTACTGTCCATAGCCACCCATGTCTTCTTCTGTCTTTATCGCCGTCCAACTCTTCCCCTTCTTGGTTCCGCTCAGGCTTGCAAATAAACAAAATCGTTTGTAAATAGGTTCGAACTCAATTCGATAAGAGCTTGTTCAAACTCAATTCGCTAATTTTTTTTTTATTTTTGAATTTTTTTGTATTTTTTACACTCAAACTCAAGGTTGAGCTTGTTAAAATATTAATAAAAAAACCCAAATATATTAAAGTTCGGCTTGTTAGCTAGCTCGTTTAACATTTATTATTTATAGATTAAATAATATAAAAATATGTATAAAATATACGATAAATATGTTATTTATATATTTAAAAAGATAAATGTAAATAATAGCTAACTATAGATAATACATTTACATAATAGTGGTGATAGATATTATTATTTTGATAAAATATTAATTTTTTTAGTATGTTTATATATATATTGTATATATAATTGTATAATCAAAATTTTAATTGTAACTTTAATCTTATATGCAAGTATTAATTTATAATTTTTTTGGCTTGTTAAAGCTCATAAACAGGCTCGAGCCCGAGTCAAGCTTAAACCAACTCGGCTCAAGCTTGGTTTGTTAAATTTTTATTGAGTTCGAACTTGAACTCATTAAAATCTTAATAAATAAGTCCAAACATACTAAAACTCGGCTCGTTTGCAGTCCCGTTGTTGAAAGCTTTTCTGATAATCTTTCAACCGTTATCATTACAACAAATTAAGATTTTAGAAAGCTAAATTTAAGACAAAATTATTTTTTAAGGACGAAATATTTTTATTTCGAAAATTTTTGTGATGAATTATTATCTTTTTGGGATTAAATTTTTTATTTCGAAATATAAACCTTTTTTTGACCAAATTATTTTGTCCCCCATTTATTAGCGACATTTTCAATTTTTTATTGCTAAAAACTCTTATTTTTTGACTTTTCAAAATGATCTTTTAGAAACTACGCTCATGATGATAGAAGTTGACTAGAAAATGTTTTTTGTAATAAAATTCACTTTCGGGAACACAAATTTAGTCCCTAAAACTTTTATATATTGTAGTGGTGTTCCCATTCATCCTCTTATCGGCAATTGTCTCTTCTATCTCTCCTATTCTCTTCCTCATCTTTCCCTTTTATTTTTATTTTTTCCTCTTCTAATTCTTGACCCTACATGTTACTAACTTGAGACAACCGAAATACATAGAAGAATTTCACAAAATGGGAAACACTTATTTGTCTCACATGTGTCTCATTTGAAAATTTTCAATGTCCTAGAGCACAATTATTCTTAGTTATCTTCATTTTTCTCAAATTTGTTCCATTCTATACATAAGCCTGAGCATCCGCATCAGCATAGCCAAAATAACAAAAAGGTAAAATATAGCTAGTAAATCACAAAATTGTTCCTCCATCAGTCTCAACAAAGTTTTTCTAAATTAATTTTTTGTTAAATTTGCTACAGTACCTCAACAACTTTGTTGAGGCACTGTTCATTAGTTACATGTTTTTTTATTATATTTTCTAAATCAAAACTTGGCCAAAATCTTTAAACTGGTTGTCCACCCGGATATCCTTCTGGATATCCTATCAGATGTCTCATGAATGCTTGTGGTAGAAGAAGAAAAATGCCCAAAATTAGCCTAACCGGTTGACCGGTTGGTCAAAGGCAATTTTTTTTTTTTTTTTTTTTGTGTGCATTTTTTAAGAATTGTTTGGGTGGGCACCTCATCAATTTAATAGAAAAAAGAAAGAATAACAAATATAATAAGAAATTAATAGTTTAATAAGATTAAGTTAGAATAGAGAGTTTGATGCAATGAATATTAAAAATGTGACTAGTTAAAATAGCAAAAGTGGATTTTGGCTTATAAATTGATTAAAAATTTGAAGAGGCAGATGCGGATGCTCTAAATCAGCTAAAAGAAATCAATATATTGGCTAAAAAAGTAAACATAATACCAAACTTTTTAGCACAAATAAATTTGGCTGATAAGTTTGGATTACCCCGAGATGTATCTAATGCTCCTAGTTGTATTAAAAAAGAAAGTGTTGACAATTACTTTTATATCTCCTTCAACTTAATTGAATTTGAATTTTGTATGATACCCTGTCTTTTAAGGCCTTGCCTTCTGCAACTGAAGTGGCGATCTTTCCAATATGTTTTTTTCAACCAAGAGACTATTCTCAACTATTTTAATAATGTAACATGTTGTTTTGCAACTATTCTCAAAAATACTTGTGCCAAAAACATATAATTCATGGTAGAAAAATGAAAGAGAAAAAAAGGGACACACATGAAACAGACTAGAAACTTCCTTCATGGTTACAGAAAGTAACTCCGCTGAAGAAAGTAAAAATGAGAAGCGATATCTATTTCATAATATAATAATTTCACATCATCGATTGAGTAAGAAAAATTTAAAAAAAATTAATTTATATAATATTACATTTACGGATCTCATAAAAAGAAGGGGTTATAAAGAATCACTTAAATTAGGGCCGGCCTACCACTGAATGTGGCCTAAAGTGAAATGTTCTTAGGAAGCTTTTAATATATAAATATATATTCAATTAATATTATTAATCTTGAAGTTCTTTTTTTTTTTTTTTTTTTAAAATTTTTGTAAGGGTTATAAAACAAAAAGAAATGAAAATTGCTATAAGTTATCATGTAACTAGAGCTTTACACATTTAAAATGAAGTCTATGCTAGGGAGAAAAAAAATTGAAGACCATAAATCTCATCTCAACCTATTCTAAATTGGTGGAGTTTTTTTTTTTTTTTTTTTTTTTTTTTTTTTTTTTTTTTTATTTATTTTATTTTAAATATGAAAGTGAATCCTTTTACAATTATAGACGGGATATTTTTTAAAATATGTGGATTTTTTTTTTAATAATATGAACTTTTAAAAAATAGAATAGGTACTTTACATATATAAACTAATCCACATAGGCATTTTCTAAATCTGTGGGACTCGTATTATGTTTATGAGTAGAATTTATTTATATTTTTTTGTTGTTGTGGGGATGTCTTTTTCATAAAAAATAAAAAGGTCTTATTAATGAGTGTCTTAATAACATTAGTTAAGAAAATTTAAAACAAGACCCCTATATATAGGGGCAACTCTACATGTAAGGGTGGGTGTTCAATTGAACACCCTAGAGTTTATTTATTTATATATGTTTGTAATTCAACCCAAAACTTTATGTGAAACACTTTAATCCACTTTCTAAACACCCAACTCAGTTCAATATCTATCCCAGCCCACTTTCCTATGCAACCAACCCAACCTACCGCAGCCCATAACCTTTAATCAATATACGTGCTTTGTGAAGTGAACACACAACATGTTTTGCTTCCTCAGCCTGTGCAAAGTACCTCTTTGACAAAATTGTGTGATTTTGCAACCCTCAACAAGTGTATCACTTGAATGTTAATGTTGATAAGTAGTTTTATAGCTGATCTCAATTTGTATTAAAGGAGCTTTCTTCATTTTTTTTTTTTTTGTCATGTGAGTGATAAAAATAAAATATATTTATGTAAATTTTTGTATCTACATTTTATTTTTTGAAACAGTGATATCAATATATTAGAATTTTATTTTATTTATTTATTTGTGCATGATTTGAAAAGTCAAAAAATTAAATTTTTGAATGTCTACCCTGAAAAAAATTTGTGGACTACCCACTGTGAACACTTTGAAAAAAATTCCTCGAGTCACCAATGCCTATATATCACATTATTTTGTCACTATTATATCACTCGGTATATTATTTTTATTAATTCCTTAATTATTATATCTCTAAATAAGAAAATCAATCGTAAATGTCCATATAAGTGGTGATGCAATCCAGTGAAAAAAATCCAATAACATATAATCTTTCTCAATTTAAAATAATTGTACATTTTTTATAACACATACTTTTTCAAAAAATAGACAACCATTTCAAAAGAGTTAATAAATGAATTTAAAGCACTCTTCAATAAAATTAAAAAATAAAATTATCTTATTACTTTTCAATGGACGTCTTGTGTAATTTTGAGAAAATGGGATCTTCAAGTGGGGGCCTAAAGCGCAAGCTTCACTCGCTTAGGCTTTAAGCCGGCCCTGATTTAAACAAGAAGAATGAGATTATAGACAGACGATTTTTTATCACCTATTAACAATGAGAGTAGTGCCCTAAGTGAATGCAACAAAAAGACCTAGAAATAACTAATAATAAAACAATTCATATATTGACATTAAAACAAACAAAGTCTTAAAACAACAAACATCATCACCTGGAGCATTCACACTCGAAACAAAGACTTACAGGGCATCCAAACAAATCTTGAATAACAAATGTCACCACCTGTAGCATTCACACTTGAAACAAAGACTTATAGGGCATCCTATAGTTGCATAGCAAAAGCAATTTGCCTAATAATTGTTTCAAATATATATATATATATATTAGAAATTTTATATCAAGCATATACTCTTGAATTGCCACAAAACCTCAGTTGACCTATGTTGTGTTTGGTCGGAGGATTTGGGGAGGGATTTGGAAAGGGAAAGGGAAAAGGTGTGTGAAACTATGTGAAATATAGGTATATTTTTTTCACATTTCACTTACCTTTTCCAATTCCCTTTCCAAATCCTTTCTCAAATTCCTCAACCAAACACAGCATTAGAGTATTACAAATTCCCAGTTTTAATTGTTAGTTCAGCTCACCATTTATTCTTAATTATCCCGTCAAAAACAAAGCCTACTACTGCACAGAAACACTTCAAACAAGAAAATGGCCGAAATTGCGGTGCTCCATCTTCTAGCCAACTTTGCACCCTTCCTTCAGGGAGAGGTCAATTTGCTGAGCGGGGTTCGGGAAAAGATGGAAGACATTAGAGATGAATTTGAGCGCATGTCAGTTTTCCTCAAAGTTGCTGATGCTAAGGAAGTGTTGGAAAAAATGATTTTTGGGGACTTTAATTTAATATTAAATAAAGATTAAAGTGGGTCCTAACCATCTATTGTGAATGGCCAAAAACCATTGAGATTTGAATGAGAAATTACCTCATGAAGTTAGCTTCATGGAAAAAAGGTAATGAAGTTTGTAACTCCTGCCTTTATTGCAGAGGTTAATGGTGCATTATGAACAGCCATAAAGGCTGGAGGCTCTTCCTCTCTCCCCTATACATGTATAAATTGAGACCCCCATGTCAAGTCTCAAACACAGAAATTTTTACTTCCATTTCACAAGTCAGTTTGCCTGAAAGTTCCTACAGTGAGAGAGTACTGCCACTGTTTTGTTCGCTAATCTAGACAGAGAGTGCTTCTGCCGTAGCTGGTTTTGACCGTCGTATCCTGGGAGACAGACGCCGGGATTCCTCAAGCACTCGACCAGTGAGGCGGCGAAATCTGTTTTAAGGAAACTGCTTCTGTGCAGGCTTCGGTTTCGTCTCTTTACCCTTTTATTATTTTGTGTATTTCTGTTGAAATTTAATTATAATTATTAGCATGTGTTCTTAGTATATATATAATTTGATTTCTTCATAAATCTATTTATTTAATTTCAAAATTTGAACAACAGGAAGAAAGTGATCTTGAACTCAAAGTTTGGATCAAACAAGTCCGAGATGTTGCTTATGACACAGAAGATGTTCTTGACAAATTCAAGCTTCACCTTGTACATCATCGCGACAATGGATTCGGTGGTTTTCTTTGTAAGGTTTTCTACTTCGCCAAGACTTTAAAAGCTCGCCACCAAATTGCTTCTGAAATACAAAGAATCAAGTCCAAGGTCGTCAATATTTCCGAGGGACATAAAAGATACCATGATAAATATGGTATACTAGAGCAAGGCTCAAGGTCCACTGTTGTTAACAATGCATGGTCTGATTGTCGTGGCGATGCACTTCTAATCCAAGAAGCAAAGCTAGTGGGCATTGAAATGCCCAAAAGACAACTGATGGAGTGGCTTGTCCAAGGAGGTTCGGGGTTGAAAGCGATTTCTGTGGTGGGAATTGGCGGCTTAGGCAAAACAACTCTGGTTAAAAAAGTCTACGATGCTGCAGCCGTGAAGAAGCATTTTAACAGCCATGCTTGGCTCACTATTTCGGAGGCATTCGGGGTTGAGGATCTCCTGAAGGACATGATTCAACAATTGTTCCGTGAAATCATGCAACCAGTCCCTGTTGGAGTTGAAACTATGAGCATTAATAGGCTAAAATGTCTGGCTAATGATTTTCTGCAGCAAAGGAGATACGTGGTTGTTTTCGATGATGTTTGGAATGTCAATGCTTGGGAGGCTATCAAACATGTGTTGCCTGACAACAATTGTGGTAGCCGTGTCATTCTCACAATTCGTTTCGCCCATATAGCTCCTACTTGTAGCGAAGAAACTGATGGTCATGTTTATACCTTGATGCCGTTGTCCCAAGAGGAGTCTTGGATGCTGTTTTGCAACAAGACTTTTCGGGGGAGCTTATGCTGTCCAAACTTGAAGCAAATTTCTCATCGAATCTTAAAAAGATGCGAGGGATTGCCACTTGAAATTGTAGCGATAAGTGGTGTTTTGGCTACAAAGGACAAACGCAGAATAGATGAATGGGAAATGCTTTATCACAGCCTTGGTGCTGAATTAGAGGGCAATGACAAACTAGAGAGTATGAAAAAAGCACTCTTTCTCAGCTATAATGATCTGCCTTATTATCTAAAGATTTGTTTCTTATACTTGAGCATTTTCCCGGAGGATCAACAGACATCGTGCAAAAGAGTAATTGAACTTTGGATAGCAGAAGGGTTTGTGAATGGTATTGAGGGGAAGACAATAGAAGAAGTTGCAAATGGCTACCTCGATGAGCTATTCAATAGGAGCTTGATTCAAGTGGCAAATAGACATCCAGATGGAAGGCCTTCTAAATTTCGTATTCACGATTTGATGCGTGAAATTATTGTTTCAAAGGCGAGAGAGCAAAACATTGTAATAACAATTTGCCGACAGGGCACAAGGTGGCTGGAGAAGGTCCGCCGCCTATTGATCCGAAGCACCTTGGATAATATGGAATATAGTGAGCGTTCTTCTCGACTTCGTTCTCTGTTTGTGTGGGGGCCAATGGATTCATTGCCTATTGCATCCTTGCGTGAGTTGTTTAGAAATGGTTCGAGGCTGCTAAATGTGTTAGATTTGGGAGGTACTCCATTGGAGGCTATACCAGATGAAGTTTTTAAACTAATCCATCTCAGGTACCTAGGTTTGAGGAATACAAAAGTGAAGATGGTCCCAAAGTTGATTGGGAAGCTTGAGAACTTGGAGACCTTAGATCTACAAGGAACCTATGTGACTAAGCTTCCTGATGAAATCCTACACCTTCAGAGATTGTGCACTCTCCTATCATTTCATTTTAAATCAAGAAGCATTTATTTTGAATTTGGAGATGTGAGTGGCTTTAAAGCTCCATCTCAAATAGGAAGCTTGCAATCGTTACAAGTGATATCCCTGATAGAGGCAGACCAAAGAAGTGGATGTGGGATTAGTATAGTAAAAGAGTTGGGGAGGCTAACCCAACTAAGGGAGTTAGCCATTTGGAATTTAAGAAGAGAAGATGGGGTGACTCTGTGCTCTTCCATTGAAAAGCTCAGCAATCTTCGCAAATTAGATATAATTTCAACCAAAGAGGATGAGATCCTTGATCTGCAATCTCTGTCTCCAGTTGGAGAAGTTTCTGCACTGGATACCTTCTCTCCATGGCCTTGTCACTTTAACTTTAGGGTGGAGCAAGTTAAGGGATGATCCTTTGCAATCCCTACAAGAATTACCCAATTTGGCTAAGCTTGTACTTTTACGGGCATACGAAGGGGAGGGACTGTGTTTCAGGGGGGGGGGACTGTGTTTCAAGGTAGGAGGGTTTTAGAGGCTTAAAGATTTATTTTTTTGTAGATTAAAAGGATTGAGATGGATGAGAGTGGAGGAGGGAGCAATGCCCCACCTTGAAACTCTAATTATCATGAATAGTGAATTGATGGAGGAGGTCCCTTCAGGCATTAAACATCTAACCAACCTTCAAACATTTGGGCTTTTTGCAATGTCTCAGAAACTGAGTTCAAAATTGGATCGAGATGTACAAGATGGGGATTTTTCTAAAATAACGCACATCCCTGAAGTTCAAATTGGGTACTTAGAACATGGTCAAAGGAAAATAAAGTTCTTATGAAGAGAGAAAGAAGGAAAGAGAAGAGCTCTCTCTAGATTAGATCGGTATCATAATAAGTAATTATATAAACTTACCCTTACCCAAAAAAAGTCTCTCTCTCTCTAGTTTTGAGAGCTTCTCTCTCTAAACTTTTCTTTTCCTAGGGTTTCAAAGCTTGCAACAGCCGGCGGTGGGGGAGCGGGTTTTCGGCGGCCTCCGGCCTCCTCTCCCCCTCCCCGTACCCCTCATTCCTCTCTCTTTTACTTGCTTTGCTACAAATAACTTGGAAGCTCTAGCTTTCCACCCTCTCCCTCCTTTGTGAGGTGTTTCCTCCCTTCTCTCCATCAACTTCGGGAGTGGCTTCACGGATCTGCCATCACCACCGCCTCTACCTCCGCCGGTTTCTCAGTGTAATAACCCTCATCACTGCTTACCGATAAACATTGATTACCGTCAAACCAAACTGATTATGACTGATAATTGAACTGATTAAAGTACTGAACTGGCTGACTGAAAGCTGGAACTGAATTGACTGAGTCTATCTGTTTAATTGTGCATCTATCTGTTTGATTGATTATTTGATCTGTTCGTGTTTTAGTGTTTAAACTGCTAATTGAAGGCCTTATCGGCGGCCGAATCGGGAATTGATTGATGTTTTATGATCCTCATAATTACTGTGACTTTATGGTATATTTATCTGAAAACTAATTAGGTATGATTACACTAGATTAAAATGAGTTAATTGCAAAGTTTGCCGTAATTACCGTTTTGCCACCGAGTGGCCCACTACCTAGATATGCTAGAGCCTTGCATACTTGACTCTAAACATCTCTTAAGCTCCACTTCTTGTACACAAACCGACCATAGGGAGGCGAGAGTGAGAGATTGAGTTGTTCATCTTGAGTTCTTGAAGATCTGGCTTAGACAACTTGGAGAATTGAAAGTTGATTGTTGATTTGTGGTTTTACACTTGTAATTGAAACTCTAGGTAAGAGAATTCAACCTTTATTGATGTGTTTGAGCTTGTTCTTGCATGATTTATGTCAAAATTGAGAATTGAGCCATGATTTAGTGCTAGCATGTTGTAATAGAGCATAATTCATGCATGCATGTTAGTATTGTGGGATTTTGAGTTGAGTTCATGGCAAATTGTCACATGCATGTCCATAATTTTGTAATGGTCCATGTTTTCAACTTGTTTCTGGATCAATTGGCTCCTTAGAGCATCAAATTGAAGCTTTGAATTGATTTGAATTCATGCATGTTTGCATGGTCTCCATGTTCATGAAAATGGTTTGAAATTGGGTTTGAATTAAGCACCCTTAGGCTTTGATTTCCTAAATTGAGTTTTGAAATATGTTATTCTATGTGTTTAAAAGAGTTTTTCAGAAAATTGGCCCAAGAGGATCGAATTTTATGCATCTAAGCTTGGTTTTGAACCTGGAGCTCGAATCTGGGATTTCCAGATTTCAGTCTTCCGCTTGAGCGGGGGAAGTGCCGCTCGAGCGGGAAAATTGAGCTTCCAGCATCTTGCACTGTAGAACAGTCCGCTCGAGCGGAGTATTGGGCGCTCGAGCGGAGGACTGGATGACATGCTCGAGCAGGCGTCGAGCGGGGATTTCCCATATCCAGTACTTTTTGGTCCGCTCGAGTGGTATAATGGACGCTCGAGCAGGGACCTTTGTTTGCCTGTACGCTCGAGCGGGGAAACCTGCGCTCGAGCGGGACCCTGTTTCACTGAAATTTCTGAAAATGTTTTCTAAGTGCATCTTTGCATCCTCATTTCATCCTAAGCATTCTTAGGCCTAGTTTTAAACATCTTAATGAGGATATAGATGTAGAACACACCGAGGCAAATTTAGGGATCTACTTATTACCTTTCTGTGAAACTTAGAGTGTGTTCAATCCGTTAACTGTATAGGGTTGGCATTTCGAGGAGACGCTCTAGCCTACTGCAGCCCAGAACTCTGTGAGTAACAATTGTGTAAAGATATGTTCAACTGAGAATGTTTTCTGACTGTTTAATGAAACTGTTTTCTAAAGTAATTATTGTTAATTGTTTGAATGTATGTCCTTTATTTCCGAACTGTACTGTGGCATCCTTAGCACCTACTGTTACTGTTACAGAGAACTACTGTTTACTGACTGATGGCCATCATTACTGTTTGGTCTTTAAGACCTACTGTTTACTGCTATGCTAATGGATGTACCACATATGACTGAATAACTGTTCTGACTGAAAGACTGAAGTATTGTTTAATGAACTGCTTTCATTACTGTGAGGACATTTCATTCTTAACCTCTTTACGCATTATGTTATTCACTGGGCTTTAGCTCACTGTTTATATATATATATATATATGTAGGTGCTCAGCCACCAGATCGGAGCTAGGAGCGTGGGTTAGACTCCAGTTTTGTCAAGCCAACCTATGTGCCTCACTGCGAGGTTCCAAGCCTATCACGCTAAGGCTTAGGGGTGTTTTAGGATTCCCCCCTTCTGTACTGTCTTACTGCTCTGTATAGACTGAATGTTTACTGTACTGTTATGTAGGGATTGAGTCCCTAGTCTGAATGGCTGTAAATATTGTGCATACTGTTCTGTACTGTTTATGTATAAATGTATGAGAAGTCTTTTTGCATACAGACTGTCGCAGCTCATTGGACACTGTTTATTTACTGTATTGGCTTCCGCCAGGCCCTGTACTCTGTTTTACTGTTTTACTGTCCTGCAGGCCTTCGGTGATCTCGGATTACTGGCCAGTTACGGTGCTAAACCCATAGGGCCGGGTTTGGGTCGTGACACTCAGCCCTCTTCCCCGCCGTCTTCACCTTTGTCGAACTCACCGACGCCACTGCTGATGGTAGTTTTCTTGGATGTGGATTTGGGTCTTGTTTTGTTTTGTTTTTATTTATTTTTTTCTTCTGTGTGTTTGTTGTTTGGGTTTGTTTGGCTGATTTTCTTTGAGTCCATCAGTGCAGATTTGTTTCAACTTACCCCCTCTGTGGTTGGGATCTATGATATATCTTGAACATGCTCTATTGCCGAACTTTTATGATCGGCTCTACTTTGCAGTATGAGCACAAACACGTAATGTGGGTTCGAATATTGTCATAGTTTTTTCTTCCTCTGTGCTTCTCGTTGTATTTTCACTTTGTTTGGTGTAAGTTTTGGATTGGATGGACTCATGTAAATGCCGTTTGGCTTCTTGAATGAAATATTTCTTCTTTTCCGATCAAAAAATAATAAGTAATTATTTCTTTTTCCTTTTTCTCAATTTTATTACATATTCTATAGATGATTTGTTTTATTTTTGATCTAGATGATAATTGATAAGAGTAATTGATTGAACTCTATTTTACTTATTTATTTGACTCCAGAAATTTTTTTTAGGAGACATTTAAAATTTAAACTTTATGAATCTATTAATTTAGACTTTTCAAATCACCAAAAAAAAAAAAATATAATATATTGATATCATTATTTCAAAAATTAAAATATGGATAAAAACTTTTGTATAAATATATTTTGTATTTATTATTAGCGTGATAAAATGAGACTTTTTTTTTTCCGCAATGTTTGGTTTCTAATTTGTGCAATAAGTTATAAAATAATTTTTTGATTTGTTAATAAATTGTGAACAAAATAAGTATAAGATTTGAGACAATAAATAAAATTCATGGATATGTATTTTACATTGGATTATTGTTTAAAAAAATTATATATACTAGAGACAATAATAAAAAGATTATAATAAAAAAAAAAAAAAACTAGCACAAAAGAATCTTTATATAAATGGAAGCCTTGAAGTGTTGTTGACACAAAAAATGTCACAATTTTAATTTTCAAAAATGTCTTTCTAACCTATTTAAAACACAAAATTATATAGAGATGAATCTAGGACTAAAAACCAAAGACACTTACCAATTAAGCAGTACACAATATGTGTGATTGCAATTCAAAATCAAAATTTATATTTTCAAATTTAACAGCACAATCACCGGTTGGACAGACACCCCTAGTTAGTATATATATATATATATATGTATATATTAAGAATATTAATGACTACATATTCTTACCATATTTTATTGGGCCATTTACATACAAGTCCCATTTTGTGAACTTATAATCCACTAAGTCCTAAATAAAATTATTTGCTCCTTGAGGTCCGATTAATTTTTAATAGACCAATTTACCCTTCTAACAAACTCCAGGCAAACTGTTCAAGTCCTCCATCAACGGTTCCGAATGGAAGGATCTCGATGGCCACTTGGATTCGACCGAGAAGTGTTTGAAGGGTTGCGTCACTGAACTCGAATCGAGAGAGAAGAATTTGGAGTCCATTCGTGAATCAGTAATCGAAAGCAACGAAGGGCTCGATTTGATTCAGAAATCGATCGAGTCACGCGTGCAAGAACTGGAGAGTAAAGAGAAGAGTTTTGATTCTTTCTAACAAGAACAGATTGAAGATTTGAAGTTGAAAGAGAAACAAGTCAATGTAATTTGAAGGTGGACCGAGGATCTTTCCCATAGCCATCAACATCGACCACCGACCACCATCGCCTCCTATCTTCCTCCCGCAACAACTTTTCTATTGGT